TGTTTTCTATTTACAGATAATATTTCCGAGGATAATGAATTGCAATAATTAATTAGCTTTTGTCATCTATTTTTTCTTCTATTTTCTCAATGCTTCATCAGTGCCCATCCAACGTTGGTCGGAAAATGCTTAATCTACTGGTCGTCATGGCAGCAGGTAAACACATTGATGAAATGCTTCCATCTTCAACACACTTTATGATATCATTAAACCAACCAGTCACAATTTCCCAATGTATATTATTATTGATTATTTGGCGTCACCTGTGTCGGGGAGGCGAAAAGCAAAATGAATCCACACCCTCCGGTCTCCCCTCGCGGTTTAAATCGGGGATGTCTTGTGGAATACTACATCGGGGCTTCCCCAAACTCTTTTACGAAAAGTGCAGTGATGACTCTCCTCCGTCTACACAGGATCTCAATTAAACGTCCTATGACTCCTAGGAACGGGGTGTTTTCCACTGTAACGCTGCCTGCGTCTATGAAACGGTGGAGGTTCAAGTTAACATACAATGCAGGCTTTAGACATCCATCTGGGTTGGAACTGAACCCACGATTTGTGGTTCGACAGGCAAACGCTTTATCGTCCGAGCCAACTTGCCTCATATCTTTTCTATTTTAGTTCAAAATGATTTTCCTCCTCAACAAATTATTTCCTCTTTGGATATTCCTTAATTCTATATTCTTTGTTATGTAATAGGCACATGGTCTTACTTTATGAACCTACACACAAGGCCTCACATATTTGATTAATTGAGTTTGGATATTGGGTAGATATAAACAAATATAGGTATGAAGAAAAAGCAGTGGTTAGCAGCATGCTTGATATACAAAGGGATGGTTTCCATTATATTGTCTATTTTCACAACCTGAATAATCGTGTCGTGGTGTTGTGATTCCTTCAGTTAACCCTCATTAGAAGGGTTTAGGGTTCGAATCCCAGCCCAGCACCTTTGACAAGACATTATTTCACATTTGCCACTCCCAACCCAGGTTGTAAAGGGCTACCTGCCATTTACCTGGCAATGCTGGGGGTAATAATAATTGCAGGGCTCGCATGAAGAGGTATAGGGAAAAAAAATCGAATGCTTTCAGCGCTTTAAGTCATATTTTCTTACGCTAGGTAAATGATAATACTTTGTAGGTGCCTTGAGCATCCTTGGGAATGTATATATGCAGCTGTCATCTACTATTATATCCTGCATACTAAGAATCTTGCAATCTGATTGGTCTAAACGAGGTCAAATTATCAATGATAGATAAGTACTCCCTGCGATAGGACTTTGCTGCTGCCCCATTTGCCCATTGAATAAGCATAGCAAAATAGGTTACGCGAAATGTCAACGTTAATGTCAAAAGTCAATGTCAAATGAGCGCGCATTGACTTTATTACATGTATGCATGTTGTGCTTTGTAAAATCTAGCTAAAGCTAAACTGTCTGCAGAATCAGTTCTTTTAATTATGTAAAAATTCACTTTAAATAGACCTTATTGCCGATGTGGGATATAAAACAAATATTAACCTCCTTTACTGGGGCAATGGATAAAAAATATCATCGCCTCAGTGATCTCGGGGCTACCACAATCCCGCCACCATCCCTCGCCTTGCGGCTCAGGATGATAGTAGCCCCAAGATCACCTGGGCGATGATAGTTTGTGTTTGTACCATTACCCTCGTAGATTCGTAGTCGATTAATATTTGCTTACTATCTCCCTCCGACAGCCACGCTGCATATCGCAGGGGCAAAATCCTCGTCATGTTCGATCGACTACAACCTGAACTACACGATTTCGATGCGGGTCCCCTGCCCGAGGAAAGAGGTCTCTAATGGCACGTTTATCCAAACCATCCCCAAGATTTACACACCGGGATTGCCTGCCAATCTCAACCCAGGGTGCGCATCGGACGAAGACTCTCGATTGCGTCTTTGTCGCGTCCCGGGTAAGCAATGCATTGTCACGAAAATTGGTGGAACTCTGTATTAAAGTATATGAATTAATGCCCTTCTAGCTCCGAACAGATTAAGATGGGATTTTAAAAAAATACAAAGTTGGAAGTATAAGAGCTTAGAATTAACCGATCAATGAGAATTTTGTACAGCGACCTGTGAGGCGTAGGATAGGTGTAGGGAATTGGAGACCACCAAGCTTGAACCCATCACTGTCTGTCCGTGTTTGCTCCAATAGTACAGCGGATTAGCTCCCCATATAACGAGAATTGTGCACTTTTTGATAAAAGCATGAAACTTCTAGCATAGTTAGTTTAGACCATAAGATTCATTTTCAGATGTGGAGGGAAGTCAGATTTGACCTCTGATGACCCTGAGAGGTCAAATTCAAAATGGCCGCCAGTCCGCATGGTCTAATGTACAAACGCGCTTAACTTTTGAACCAAATAGTCCAAAAAACATTTAAGGTGTCGTTTCCAACTAAATTGAGGATGCCAATGCATTTGGTAATACTTTTGAGATCGCCAGATTTCGGGGTTTTGCATTTAGGTCAAGGTTAAGGTCAAAATTGACTAAAAATAGCAAGTTTTCAATGTTTACAACGAAACAAATCCCATTTATTTGTCATTTGTTCGCTCCTATGTCCTCAAATTTCTTTAAGAGTGGTTCCCATGCAGACCATGAGATTCATTTTCAGATGAAGAGCGAAATCAGATTTGACCTCTGATGACCCTGAGAGGTCAAATCAAAAATGGCTGCCAGTCCCGCCTATTCAAAAACACTTAACTTTTGACCAAATAGTCCAGAAAAACGATTAAGGTATCATTTCTAACTAAATTGGGGATGCCAATTCATTTGGTAATACTTTTGAGATCATTTGAAATCAGGGATTTGCAATAAGGTCAAGGTCAAGGTCAAATTAGGCCCAAAAAGTGATTTTGTTTTGGTTTTTTTGTTGTTGTTTAAACTTTGCCTCTATTTTGACAATAAAGGAGACATTTTTTCCAAAAAATAAATAAAAATGACACATGTACCACCACTTTGACTACCCAGGGCAAAATTTCGTAGAGCTGCTTAACGGCCAATTATGTGCTTACTTACGAGTTACTACTTCATAGCGCTGCTAACCGTATAAGCACACGAAAATGCATAATATAAACCTAACGGTGCTTACTGCAGGAAAATGAATTTTTTAACAATGCAAATCCATTGTGAACGCGCAAGGTGGACACCTTGTTTTCTCGATAACATGTGAGACCTATATGCTAACCTGCTTGAGCAAATTTGTCTGCTACAGTTAGCACAAAAATTAGCTTACCGGTAAGCAGCTTTATGAACCTGGGCCCAGAAGACAAAAAAAAAGCTATTCCAAATACGAACCTGCTCATTACCACAGCTATAGTTATCCACATAAATTTAGCACTGCATGTCCACAAAATCAAAATCTAACAGTCTCCAGAACAAGAGCACAGTGCAGTGCACTTGAGTGCAGCTCATTTGCAACGTCCAGTGCACCCTTTCTTGCAGCGACAGTGTATCAATTCATGGCACGATTTTGATGCCTCCGGGAGAGTGGTCCAAAGAGGCTGCCACCCAGTTGTTTCATTTGTCCAGCCCCAGTCAGATGGCTCTGGCATCTCTGGATTCTTGGCCAATGTCTGGTTCCAACAGTTGGCCTGGTAGCAAGTGCGCTTGATGTGCTGCTTAAGTGCTGCCTGGGTTGGAGGAAAGTTCTCAAGGTTTCTAGATTTCTGTGCGAAGAGCTGTTTCCTGGCATCATTCACTTCCATGCTCTCACTGGTTCGGTCGTACATCAGCACTACAAATCGCTCTAGCAGTAACATTGATCCTTCACTGACCTCACTTGGCATGCACAGGAGTTCACTAAAAGCATATCACCTCTGGTTAAGACTTCCAAGTTTCCCAGACAGTCTTCTTTCCTCTGCCAGCGAATGCAGAAACAGTGTCACACCCGGTGAACGCATTAAAGACTGGGAGAGTCATACACTGTGTCGGAGTCATGGTGGCAACCATTTCGTGAACAGCTATGTACCGAAAGCTTGATCTGACACCGAAAGCGATCCACAGCTCATCAGGAGCTGCCTTGCTGAATGCAGCCACGGCAAGTACAACCACATCAGTATCAACGGTACGTATGGTTACCTTTTTGCACCCTTTTTGCACAGCATCTGCCACATGCAAAAGTAGACGAGTGTCAGCCTCCTCGTGCGAGCATGGGGCAAGGCCTGCCAAGTGTGACTCAGCAGGAAAACAGAGTACTCCACTTCCATCTGTTGCGTATAGTTCCTTGTCCTGTGGTAGAGGAAGATTAACGGCTTCGCGTGACAGGAAAGCAAATAATTCAGTTTTGCTCTCATCGACTCGGAGGAAGTCCTTCCAGTTTTTTTGGCAGCACAGTAGAATGAGCCACCCTTTTCCTGGTGCCCTTTCCCTTTTCTGTCTTGTTGAGGCTTTCAGGCCAGCAGGTAAGTATACATCCCAGACAAGGTCAATGCGGATGCTTTTCTCTATTTGAGCAAAGATGTATGGGACAAACACTCTTTCTCCATACTCTTGAAATGTTCTTGATGTTCCAGGATTGAGTATTTGAACCACAGCTGCACCATCAAGAATTATTGCTTGGGCCACAGGTGCACTATTGTTTTCGAGCAGATTTGATTCCAGGCAGCAAAGTAGATCTGCTTTAACTCCAAACCACATTTTTACTCCAGTTGCCAGAGCTGGCGGGGCTGCCTGGTTTTCATGGGAGAAGATATTGTCCATGTCTCCATCCCGTGTCTGACACGAGATGTACAGCCTCGAAAATAGACCACAATCACTCTTAAGTGCTGCGATCTGTGCCTCCTGTTTTGACATAACCTTGGCATTCGCTGGCAGAGGAAAGAAGACTGTCTGGGAAACGTGGAAGTCTTTCCCAGAGGTGAATGATGCTTTAAGTGAACTCCTGTGCATGCCAAGTGAGGTCAGTGAAGGATCAATGTTACTGCTAGAGCTATTTGTAGTGCTGATGTACGACCGAACCAGTGAGAGCATGGAAGTGAATGATGCCAGGAAACAGCTCTTCGCACAGAAATCTAGAAACCTTGAGAACTTTCATCCAACCCAGGCAGCACTTAAGCAGCACATCAAGCGCACTTGCTACCAGGCCATCTGTTGGAACCAGACATTGACCAAGAATCCAGAGATGCCAGAGCCATCTGACTGGGGCTGGACAAATGAAACAACTGGGTGGCAGCCTCTTTGGACCACTCTCCCGGAGGCATCAAAATCGTGCCATGAATTGATACACTGTCGCTGCAAGAAAGGGTGCACTGGACGTTGCAAATGTGCCAAAGCTGCACTCAAGTGCACTGCACTGGGCTCTTGTTCTGGAGACTGTTATATTTTGATTTTGTGGACATGCAGTGCTAAATTTATGTGGATAACTATAGCTGTGGTAATGAGCAGGTTCGTATTTGGAATAGCTTTTTTTTTTCTTCTGGGCCCAGGTTCATAAAGCTGCTTACCGGTAAGCTAATTTTTGTGCCAACTGTAGCAGACAAATTTGCTCAAGCAGGTTAGCATATAGGTCTCACATGTTATCGAGAAAACAAGGTGTCCACCTTGCGCGTTCACAATGGATTTGCATTGCTAAAAAATTCATTTTCCTGCAGTAAGCACCGTTAGGTTTATATTATGCATTTTCGTGTGCTTATACGGTTAGCAGCGCTATGAAGTAGTAACTCGTACGTAAGCACATAATTGGCCGTTAAGCAGCTCTACGAAATTTTGCCCTGGGTAGTCAAAGTGGTGGTACATGTGTCCTTTTTATTCATTTTTTGGAAAAAATGACTCCTTTATTGTCAAAATAGAGGCAAAGTTTAAACAACAACAAAAAAAAAACAAAAAAAAACAAAAACAAAAAATCACTTTTTGGGCCTAATTTGACCTTGACCTTGACCTTATTGCAAATCCCTGATTTCAAATCTGACTTCCCTCCACATCTGAAAATGAATCTAATGGTCTGCAGGGGAACCACTCTTAAACAAAATTGAGATCATAGGGGTAAACAAATGACAAATAAATGGGATTTTGTTGTTGTTGTAAACATTCAAAACTCAATTTTGACCTTGACCTTGACCTTAATGCAAAACCCTGAATTCTGGCGATCTCAAAAGTATTACTAAATGAATTGGCATCCCCAATTTAGTTGGAAATGATACCTTGAATGTGTTTCTGGACTAATGGTTCAAAAACTAAGCGTGTTTGTACATTAGACCATGCGGACTGGCGGCCATTTTGAATTTGACCTCTCAGGGTCATCAGAGGTCAAATCTCATTTCCCTCCACATCTGAAATCAAATCTTATGGTGAAAGCTTACTATGCTAGAAGTTTCATGCTTTTATCAAAAAGTGCACAATTTTCTTGCTAAGCCGCTGCACTACAATATTGCTATAGCGCCATATGTGGCCTTTAACCACACTACTGCATATATTCAATTCATTTCAAAGACTACAATGCGTTCTTTCTCCGAGAAAATTGGCAAAATTGACCAAGATAAGCAATTTTGATCGTAACATTTTGCTGTAATATAAAAACAATTTTCACTGAATGTTGTGGTGTATGCAGATATTTAGGGGTGGCTCTTAAAAAGTAGTTTAAAAAGGAAGTTTATGAAGTGTGCCAACCATCACAGAAAACTTATGGCCATTGTGTGTTGTGAATGGGTGTTGCAATCCACATTATGAATGGTGTCTGATCAGAAATGTGTGTAGACAATGGGGGACACCAGGTCCAAGATGGGGGCCTACTTTCCCCCAGTTGTTCATTTCATGTTGAAAGGCACTATTATGAAACATATTTGGTTGTACGGTGTCACCATTCTAATTTGAATGCATTTTATTTTAAAGATAAACTCGAGTTCTGGTTAAAAAAAAAGAAAATGAATTCTCACAGAATCAAAAGAAACTTACACTGAAAGTTCAAGATTACAAATAAATGTCATGTGCCAAACAATTTTGGAAGAAAATGTATACTGGATGAGTAATTAGCATAGAAAGATAAGGAAATCAAGGTAGGTATACGTAGCCCCTGACACCTGTTGTGTAGTCCCATATACATCTTTCTGTGTTCAGTGCTTGTTACTTTACCGAGACTGGGCCAAATTTATTATGATTTTGATGACTCCAGAACCTTGCAGTGCACACCAATACTTACATGCTACATGATCAACTTTCTCTGATCAATTCCACACCTTTTCTTTCACAATGAAATCGCATTACCAGAACTCACATTTATCTTTAAGAAGTTGTTTCTATGCTGTGAGTTTGATCAACATAATTTAAAGCACCTTTATTACTCTAAACAAAAAAACAACAGAAATATTTTGGGCCACATTGTTTTAAAATCGTTATAGTAAGTTCATTGGCTGCATGTAAGTAGTTATAGCAGTGAGTTCCGGGACGGCCATAGGTTTTGTACACGAATTTTTTCGTACTTATACTATTTCTAATTGACTCGTGTACATTAACTTTGACATAGTCTATTTTCGAGAAAAAACGGACTTATAACACGCGTGTCTATGGGGTTTTGACGAAGTCTTGACTTTTTGAATTTAATTTGGGATTTGTCATTTTGGACTTGTAAATTTTTTCGAAAAAAACTGACTTATAACACACATGTCAATGTGATTGTGACTTTATGAATTTTACTTAGTGATTTTCTCTGTTGGACTTAGATTTTTTTTCAAGCAAAAAGTGAATTATAACACGTGTTTCTATGTGAATTTTGATACTTTGAATTTTACTTAAAGATTTATAGGAATTATTGACCTTTTGAATAGTGCATGATAGGAATTTTCTTTTTTGGAACTGACTTTTAACATGTGTGTCTATGGAATTTTGACTTTTTGACTTTCTTTCTACCAGTATACTTTGTGTTTGACTTTCTAAGGAACGTTTACAAAGCCGTTGTAGGTTGGATCAATATCTACTGTTCGATCAAATAAATAAAGGAATGTGTATTTACCCATACTGTGATCCTCGCATGGCAACACGGGGAAGCGTATTGTAGCCTATATATGTGTAAAGGGTATTGATTTTGTATACCGGTGGATGTCTTTTGTATTTGAATTACGTTTCAGCAATAGTACCGTTGTTTCTTATTGATCGTGCATTGACTTTATGAACCTCTCAATAGCCTTTCGACAAACGAAGCTCGTTTTACTCCGCCCTGTTCATACCGTCCAGTTCTTTGGACTTTCACACAACACTTTGATAATTATAGTTCAGGGCTATGTTTGGACTCTCTTAAAACATCATCAAAACAGATTTGAATACAAAGATAAGAATTGTAATTTAGTCATGTAACTAGGGAAGAGAGATAAAATATACAAAACATTTTTAACTAGAGAAATAGAACCCAAGTCACATTAATGTATTATTTAATCGTAAATATGTTTTATTTTAATTAAAAAAAGTTAACATAATTGTACAGTAAACATACACACCATAAATCCGTAGTTTAGCGCCGTAACATACCGTAACGCCGCATTTGACGGATCATTCATATCTATGCTTTATCACCAACTTTTCTAGAGCACCCACTCTCTTTTAGAGGTCTAACACTCTAGTATCAACTCCGTAACTCTATTTCATACTTTCACCATCTCGACTCTATTTCATACTTTCACCATCTCGACTCTATTGCATACTTTCACCATCTCAACTCTATATCATACTTTCACCATCTCGACTCTATTTCATACTTTCACCATCTCGACTCTATTTCATACTTTCACCATCTCGACTCTATTTCATACTTTCACCATCTCGACTCTATTTCATACTTTCACCATCTCGACTCTATATCATACTTTCACCATCTCGACTCTATTTCATACTTTCACCATCTCGACTCTATTTCATACTTTCATCATCTCGACTCTATTTCATACTTTCACCATCTCGACTCTATTTCATACTTTCACCATCTCGACTCTATTGCATACTTTCACCATCTCGACTCTATTTCATACTTTCATCATCTCGGCTCTATTTCATACTTTCCCCATCTCGACTCTATTTCATAATTTCATCATCTCGGCTCTATTCATTCTGGACATACGGTGTATGTTGTACGACTATTGTGACGTAGAATACACACATCCATGAAATAAAACAATATGTAGTACGGATATTTTACTTTATTTTACTTTATTTGTTTCCGTTTCAATGTGGACAACTTTATGCAAAACAGATTTGAATACAAAGATAAGAATTGTAAGTTAGTCATGTAACCAGGGAACAGAGATCAAATATACAAAACATTTTTAACTAGAGAAAATTAATAGAACCCAAGTCACATTATTGTATTACTTCATCGTAAATATGTAAAAACTGTTAACACAATTGTACAACAAACAATTAGTGTTTATAAATAAATATCTTTAAAACATAAAACACAATAGAAAGTGTTTTTTTTCTCAGAAAGGTCGATTGATGTACAACATGTTGAAATAGAGTAAAATTTTCATCTATTATTAGGGTTGTCTACGAAGTGTTCTTTGTCAGGGTGATGTCAAGCCTTAGTTGTCGCTTCCATCTGCACCCTCCGTCTCCGTCTCTTCTTCACTATCATCGTCATTCTCATCCTGATACTGGAATAACCCCTCGAATTGTGCACCATGTCTCGATAAGACTCTTTTACGGCTTTCAGAAGATTCATGCCATTTTCTACTTTTTCCGTGAGATCAGACATAATTTCATGATTGATGTCAGCGCTTCCAAGGTACACGTTGTGCTGCAAGAAGTTGGAGTAAAGATCGAAAAAGCTGCGTTTGACAGCCCATAGAACTTTCACGTGAGCCTTTTCTTTAGCTACTTCTTCTTCATCCATACCATCGGAGATATATGCGAGACCGTATGTCCAGAATGAATAGAGTCGAGATGATGAAAGTATGAAATAGAGTCGAGATGGTGAAAGTATTATATAGAGTCGAGATGGTGAAAGTATGAAACAGAGTCGAGATGATGAAAGTATAAAATAGAGTCGAGATGGTGAAAGTATGAAATAGAGTCGAGATGGTGAAAGTATGAAATAGAGTCGAGATGATGAAAGTATGAATAGAGTCGAGATGGTGAAAGTATGAAATAGAGTCGAGATGGTGAAAGTATGAAATAGAGTCGAGATGGTGAAAGTATGAAACAGAGTCGAGATGATGAAAGT